AATTGCTTACATCTTGGGGAACATCGGCCGCTTACTCAGCACGATAGTTTCCTCTTTTCCACTCTTCTAGCTTCTAGCCCATCCTAACACTTGTTTCCCGTCTCCCTGTTAGCAAATTTCCAGAAACGTTTCGTAGCCTTACCTGGGTGTGTATATTTGCACAGAACCCCCCCTCCTGTGCTCACCCCCCCATCCTCACACTGCTAACTCCCCTCATCCTATAGGTGCAAATATATATGTTACTTCTCTGGGATCGTCAGAGTTGGGTGCACACGTCTGAGCCTCTGTAGCCTCTGTACTTGTGCAGTGACACTCACTGTCCTGAAGTGTAATTCTTACTATTCATCTGCCTCTTATAGTTTGTTCACTATTGTGTTTTTTTTTGTTAGAGAGAGAGAAGCATTGATGTGAGAGAGACACATCGATGGGTTGCCTCCCACATGTGCCCCCAACAGGGGCCGGGGGTCGAACCAGCAGCCCAGGTATGTGCCCTTGACCAGAAATCGAACCTCAACCCTTCGGTGCCCCGGCCAATGCTCTAACCACTGAGCCACACCGGCCAGGGCTCGTCCGTTCACTGACTCCTAGCACTGCATCTGTGACATATGAGGTGCTCAACATCCGTTCCAAATTAATGCATAAAATAAGAAAGCATGTAGTTATTTATGCATCTGTAGCAGGGTGTAAGAACTCCAGTTTCTAGTCACTCTTGCTAGTACAAGATATTGACTTCTATTATATCTTTGATCAATTGGCATCTAAAAATATCCTGATTTGCCCGGCCGGGCGTGGCTCAGCGGTTGAGTGTTGACCTAGGATCCAGGCGATCGGGGTTCGATTCCCGGTCACGGCACAGGCCCGGGTTGCGGGCTCGATCAATGACTCTCTCATCATTGATGTTTCTGTCTCTCTCCTTCTCCTTTCCTCTCTCTGAAATCAATAAAGATATATTAAAAATAAAAAATAAAAATATCCTGATTTAATAATAAGTGCGATTGGCCCTGGCCAGGTAGCTCAGTTGGTTAGAGCATGGTCCCGACGTGCCAGGGTTTCTGGTTCAGTCCTGGTCAGGGCACCTACCAGCATCAGCCAGTGGATGCATAAATAGATGAAACTACAAATCGATGTTTCTCTCTCCACCCCCCTTCCTTTCTCTCTAAAATGAATAAATAAAAAAATTAAAATTAATAAGTGCAATTGGATTTTTTTTTCCCACTTGCTGCCTGTATTGTCTTGGAGCACTGCCCCATTTGTGTCCTTGGCTCATTTACTTAGTAAAAGAAGTTAATTATTTGCAGTGTTTCTCCTGTAAAAAAATGACCTCACACCTGTTAGAATGGCTGTTATAAAAAAGTCAAGAAATAAGCATTGCCAAGGATGAGGAGAGACGGGAACCCTGGTGAACTGTCGGTGGGGATGCACATTGGTGCAACGACTACGGGAAACAGCATGGAGGTTCCTCAAAAAATTAAAACTAGGACCACCACATGATTCAGCAATCCCACTTCTGGATATTTACCCAAAGGGGACAAAATTATTATCTCAAAAAGGTATCTGCACCCCCATGCTTATTGCAGCATTCTTTGTAACACGGAAAACAACCTAAATGTTTGTTGGCAGATGAATGGATAAACTAATGTGGAGAAATATGTATATAATTCAGCCATAAAACGAAGGCAGTCGTGCCATTTGCGACAACATGGATGAAATTTGAGGGCGCTGTGCTGAGTGAAGTAAGTCAGACAGGTACTGTATAATCTCACTTATAAGTGAAATTACAAAAACAAACTCACATGCCCTGGCCCGTGTGCTCAGTGGTTAGAGCGTCAGCCCCCCACACTGAAGGGCCCCGGGTTTGATTCCCGGTCAAAGGCACATACCTGGGGTGCAGGTTGGATCCTAGCCCTGGCCAGTCCGGGCGTGTGCAAGGGGCAACCAGTCCATGTGTCTCTCTCACATCGATGTTTCTTTTCCTCTCCCCCCTCTCCCCTTCCTTCCTCCTTTCCACTCTAAAAAAA